TATGGAGTAATATCTGCTAGTCAAATTGCTAGTAAGCTGATTCACTCAATGCTTTCTTTTAACCTTGAATTGCCCAAGTGCATCACAAATGAATTGAGGAATCGTATGCTTCTCATCAGACACTAAAGTCTTGCCTGGAATTCATGCCTGTAAAGCAGGTGATGGAAAACAAGAATTGAACCTAATGGAGGACCCAGTTTTGTTATACAAGCTCTTCACTGTGATTGGAGCACGAAACAAATCTTGGAAGGGGTTGCTCTGCAGAAATTGTGCCCCGTGTGTGAGCTTGCAGAGGATGAACAGAACAAGACAATCAGTTAAAGCCACAAATGAGAGGTGTTTGTTATTTAATGGCCTTTGTTCGCTATAGCAATAAATGACCCAAGTGCAATGACTTGATTTAATAAACCCTCCTTTAAAAGTCGCTGCTATGAGTATTTGTAGCCATAAGGAAGTTTCCCTGATGTGTGTCTGTCTTGTTTTCACTTAGTGTTACATACTGGAGTGGAGGGGGAGAGGGTAACGGTTTTGGAGACATTCCACAGTACAAGTTCCTAGGAGCAGTGTGCTTCACTGACTTGTCTACTGGTGCTGTAAAATGATGCATGCTATCCAAACTCAGCAAATAAAATGAGTATAAAAACCTCTTCAGGCATCTGCTCACTTCTGTTCAGGATTGTCTTGTATGCCCTTAAATTCTTTCCAAGAAGGACTATAGGGGGTGGAAACAAAGTATTTATAATACTCCCCTTTAAAGTTTTCAGATTTCCATTTACTCACTGGGATGCTCTGGCTCCTTATTATCAGGGTGGCTTAGGATCCAAACAGTTGGAAAGCTCAATTTTCCTTTGCAAAGGTAGCTGGGAGTTTTTAACTTCTCAGGATCTATTCATTCCCCCTTTTTATTCTTCTTGGCCCATATTGAACTGACCTTACTGTGCATCTTCAGCAGCTTTATTTAGGACCTCTCTTGCCACTTAGTACCATGAATGCTTGTTTGAATCCCTTAAGTATGTAGCGAAGAACTGAAAACTGGCATGTTTAATAGGGATATGGAAGAGGGAACAGCAGAAGGGCATTTTTAAACTGCTGGGTTTTCATTCAGTCTTAAGATTGTCTAAAAATCTTTTGGTAGTACACAACGTATAGTTTAAAAAAAATCAAAATTACAGGTGTACTTGATTTTTTTCCACAAAGATGAATTTTTTTCATTAATATTAATGGAAGTTAATTTCTGTTTGAAACCTGTGATTATCACAAGATTTGAATTGTATAGCAAAGTATTTGTTGAAATTTTAAATAAATACCTTGTATTCATTAAGATAGGACAAGTCTGTTACCTCTTTCCAAAGGAAATGGTAAACCCAGGTTCACACAGCTGCCTTTTGGCTGCTCTAAAAGTTATCCGAGATGTTTCTGATCTCTGAGAAAGCATGTAATGAGCACGGCTGGTTGCAAATCTTGGGTAATCGGATTTTGCAAGAGCTGAGGAGACAAACCCCTCCCTGTAGGTGCCTGAGGAATGCAAACAACCCCAAACAGCTCGTAAAGCATGAGACTGATGCTGCTGGGGTCAGGGTTTGGGGTACCCTCTTTGTTGGGATTCATGGTTCCAATCTCTTTGCAAGCCCCCTGGGAGCCCAGATTGGCACAGCTTCTTTCTGGGAGAAGCGTGTGGGTATCTGAGGGCTGCAGGGTGCTGGGCTTCGTGTCCTTCAGAGAGCTCTTGATGTTGAGGGGGTGTTGAGAATCAAGGGCCATTCAGTTTTGCCATCACAGTAAAGGTTTAGGGAGTGTGTAGAAGCACAGCTCCAGGTGACATAGACAAGAAGCCTTCTGAAACATGTCTGTACCTTGGTTTTTAGCTTTCTTTTAAGTATTTTTAAAAATGATCTCTGTCTGGTATTGTATCATGTACAAGTAATTTGACCTTCTCAGGTGGGTTGTGTTGGCTGTGCTTGATGGTGCCTGGCTAAATTCCTACTTGATCCAGATGTGAGGCTGGCTGTATCAAAGCAGAACAATAAATAATACCTATCTTTAGGTTAAAACTGGAGACATGCCTGTGGCTGAGGACTGGTGGCTGGAGTTGTGACAGCAGACAAAACGAGAGGTAACCCCATAAGCTCCTGACTAAAACACTGCAGGAATGTAGAAAAAAATCAGTGACCAGATCTGTTCCAAGTCAGTGCTGTGTGAAGAAGTGTTAGGAATTGCTCTTCTGTAGTGATAAACTACTTGCTGTAAATTTCTGGCTATTGCAAATCTGGCTCTTGGAGGTGAGGTGATATTCAGTGAGCCAACAAGTGACCATGGCACAAGGTTAGCAGATAACTGTTACCCTTTATGATGGGATAGCCCTGAAGAAAAGTTATTATTTGCCCATTGGGCTTTTTAGCTGCACAAGGTGCTATCAGTAGTGTACTCTTGCATGTATGGAGGATAATGCATTAACTTGTCCAGATTTTGATCATTAATGTTTTGAAGTCTTCTAAAGAGATTGTTCAGAGATGTTGTGGGTGCCCCTCCCTGGAAGTGTTTAAGAACAGGTTGGAGGGGGCTTAAAGCAACCTTAGACAGTAGAAGATATCCCTGTCCATGGCAGGGGGTTGGAACTGGATGGTGTTAAAGGTCTCTTTCAACCCAAACCGTTCCTGATTCTATGAATACAGGAGAGCAGAAGTTGCCGCCTGCACCTGGAGGAAGGGCACCAACCCCACAGGCGTGACTGACTCATCCCTGTGGACTCCTGGCAGAGGTGGCAATCTGGCAGATTAGTGGGCGTGTGTGTAAGTGTTTTGTCATTTTGCAGTGCAATACCTTTATCTGCAGGTTCCTCAGCCTTAATCCAGTCAGGCAAGAAAATAAGTAGCTGCTGCCCAACATTATATCTTCATGGGAAAACTCCAAATGAGCCAGAGCAGCCAGGCAGAGCTGGGTAAGACTGAGAGAGACTGGGGCAGGATGGCAGCAGATGAGTGGTTAGAGGGTCACCTCTGAGACCTTGGGAATCCCTGGCTGGGTTACCTTTGCTCGCAGTATTCCCCAGACTTCTGAAAATGGTGAGTACTTCCACAGAACGTCATTGTTCCAGAGCTGCTGGAGAATTATCACTGGTCTGTAAAATTGCTTCATTCATAATCTAAAATGCATTTAATTGCTAAGGCTGTCTTTACTTTGCACTTCTTTCCTTAGTTAGATATTTTAATTAACCTTTGTTTTTTTTCTTGTTTTGTAATTGGTTTCTAATCAGTGTTGTCACTTTTAAGAAAATTTGGAGTTTTCTTATGGCTATATATAAAGATTACTCTTAGAACCTGCTTCACTTAAAGCTACTTTCCAACTATGATTCCTTTAAAAATACAACTGACACTTTCCTAAGAATTAAGAGCTTTACTTTTTATCCTTGGATGACCATGTGAACACTAAAACCTCCTACTGCAGCCTTAGCTTGCCTGTAGCAATGGCAGGGTATCATGTTACAGTGGTTTATTGAGTCTTAAGCCAGCCATGTGGCCATTCAAGCCCTAAAACCAATATATTAGGTTCTATAATAATGGGTTTAATACTTCTGATAAATCTTGAAGTTGTGAGTTTGTAGTGTTTGGAAAAATATATTTCTCTAGCAAATTATTGCAAGGTCAGTATAAATCTTAATTTTGTAAAAACTATGCTTGTAATTTTCATGTGCAGTACACATTTCCCTGTAAACTTAGCTGTAGTTTGTTTTCTGGAGCAGTGGATGGGGGGAGAGGTCACTCCAGGTGATGGAGGAGCCTTTGGCCAGAGACTTTGGGTCCAGCATTGCAGGGGCTGTCACTCCTGTAGTTGTCATTGTTTGGACAGATCCCTCTGTTTGCTGTGCCCACATGGGGCCAGACTGCTGTGCAGTGTATCCTGCCAGTCGTTAAAATCACGGATATGCTTGGGATAGAGGAAAGGAGGATAGTTCTGTAGAGTTTTGCAAGATACTTCAGTTTTACACCAACAGGAGTCAGAGTTAGGGATTTGAATGTAATGCTGTGAACATTAACCAATATAGGGATTACTTTTTAAATTCAAGATCAGTTTATTTTTTTGCTGTTTCAAGACTCTGCTCTCTTGTAACCACTGCCCATCCACTCTCTCCTTCCTTTTTCCCTTCTGTTGAGGGCTTTGGAGAAGTAGGATCATCAGCTGGTGACAATCTCCTGAGCTAAGTGTGGAAGTGTCCCCTTACTAGAAAGCCCTTTTCAGATGAGAGGGTATCAACACCTCAGCTGCTCATGTAGCTGTGTCCTGGTACATGGAGGGAGTAGAAACCTCTGGAATTAGAGGACTATCATGCTTACAGCTTCTTACAAAGGCAGAGATTATCAGCAGTAGATAGTTTATGATAAGAGATAAAACATCCTCTCTCTGCTTATGCTTTCATGTGGTCCAGTGTCTCAATACCCATGTTTTTTCCTAAAGTAACAGTGACTTGCTGCTGTCTTGCTTGTTTTGCCCCGAGTTTCTCCAGCTGCCTTGGCAGGTTGTTGCAGTGCTGGGACTGGGTGGTTTCCAACATGAGTCAAACAATGCAGCCAAGCGAGCTCAGTGTTCCACTGCTGGCAGGGGCCGGTGTCTCGGTGAGCCCGAGATACTTGGAGATGTCCCAGATTTCTGCCTCACTCAGAGGTAACAGCCCTAGGTGGGGTTCCACCTGTGATTAAATACAAAATGAATGTGAATTAATTAGTGGTGAGACACAATGAGCTCCAGGATTCCGAGCTGTGAAATGGAATTAGGGCTGCAAGCTCACAATAAACATTTAATGACTGCAGAAATCAGAAAGGAATTTGGTGCAGCCTTTCACCCCAAACCTGTAGGCGTTTCCCAGCCACCTCCCATTCTTTGGCAATATTGATCCGAATATTCTGCTTTGCTTCTGATCCATTTTAGTTCCTTAGAAGAGCTAGTGGCTGCTAGCTTTTAATATGAAAATGCTTTTCATATTTATATTTTACATTTATGAAAATGCTTTTCATATTAACAGCTTAATTCAGAGGGTGGCATGAGGTTCTCCTTAAGAGCTACCTTAGAAATCCAGTGTATTGGTTGAACTCTTGCTTTTATGGTAATTTCATTATTAAATTGAAACAGATCTGAAAACATAGAATGGTGGACAAACATCACAGATGAAAGGGGCAGCCAGCTGTGTGCCTGGGCCTTTGATGCTGTCTGATGGGAGAGCCTGGAGCCTCTGGATGGGAAAACACATCTCTGCTCTCCCAGTGCAGGACCCCTTCTGCTTCTGATCAGCATCATCTGTGCTGCTCAGTATGTGTCAGGGGGCAAATTGAGGGGCTTCTCTCAAGGCATGGTAATTTGATGAGATTTTTCACGTTGCCTTCTCTTGAGATCAAGCTGTTATCCTGTTTTGCCACTGTGCATTTGCTTCTTGCTTTAGTGGTTTAGCTTAGTGACTTTTATGCATTTTATTTTTGATTTTTTTTATTAAATTAATCTACTTATACTTGTACTGATAGAATATCAGTGTCTTAATTCTTCTGAACCCACAGCAGCTGTTGCTTTTGCCTTGGACATGTCTAAGATCTAATATGAGATTTGATGTATCATGTTGTTTTTCTTTCGTTCCCTTTCTTTGCTGGATTATTTTTCTCCAACAAATATGCTGTAACAAGTTGCATCCCAGGATGCTTAGCTTTTATTAAGGACTGTGGGAAACTTCATGGAGGAAATAGAGGTCTGAATCCTTCTGCAAAGGAAATAACTCTTCACTCTAGCCCATGTTTATCATATTTTGATTTCTGGCCCCCGAGTGCCCACATTTCCTACTCACATGGCAGGAACTGCCCAAGGAGAGCAGAGCATTGAACCCAGTGGAGATGAGACTGTCTTAAATCACTTCAAAAGGGATCCACAGGCTGAACTGCTTTAATAAACTTTCCAGCTTACAGTTTACAGTGTTGAACAGATTTTTTTCTTTTTTTTTTTTTTTTTTTTTTTTATGAAAGGGTTCACAAGTAATTCTCAGTAAAAGTAATGAATGCCTGAAAATCACCTTATAAGTCCAATAAGGACAGTCTCTGGCATAGGTTTAGCTCCTTTTCTGCTAGTAAGTAATCAGACTGTGTTCAAAAAGTGGAAACAGAGATGTCTAAATTTCTTTAACATCTTTCTTCCAGGAGGAAATCAGCAAATGAGTAGAGATGGATGTGAGGGTGGTCTACTGCCTGTTCCTTTGGGCTGCACACTTCTTCCTGGCCATGCCACACACCACTCCCAGGGTAAGTTTCACTAGACCAGGCTGCTCAAATCCCCATCAAGTGACCTTGAACACTTCCAGGGATGGGGCAGGCACAGCCTGTCAGGACAGCCTGTTCCAGTGTCTCACCACCCTCATCATAAACAACTTCCTCATCTGAGATCTGTGCATGAGCTCAGTGTCACTTCAGTAGCAGGGTCCAACTGAAGGCTTCATATACAGAGGCATACTTTAAGTAGGGATGTCTCAGTTGGTCTGTATGAGCCAAGAGCCACAAACTCTGCATTCTGCACCTCAAAAGGACTATTTTCCTCTTGCAATCCTTTCTGGTTTGTACCAAGGAGTCATCTTTTACTTATTTATGTAAATATTCACTCTACGTTCCACTTCTTATTTTTCAGGTTCTCGGAAACAAATCAGAGACTGGTGATGAGCAAGGTACAGTGCCTTGGTTAATGCTTTGTGAGATGTCATCAGTTATCAATACTTCACATCCCTGATGCATCACAGACCATGGTATGCTGTCTTTCACCTTGTAACTGTCTGCTTGGTTTATCTTCCAGATGCCTGCATAAATCTCATTCCCTGCCAAGATAATGGAGCAATTTGTATTCAGCCTTGCTCTCCCTCCTTCCATGGGGAGACGAGGTTTGTCTGTGAGGACAGAAAGTGGCAGATGTTGTCAGATGCTTGTGCAAGCCTGGATGTTCAGTCCCTTTTTCAGGTGAGGAGGCTGTTGTGCACCTTGGCCTGTTCTTGTAACTTCTTGTGAGGACAGACCCTCCTTCCATGTGCTTTCAGTCTTGAGCAAAGGGAGATGGTACCCTAAACCACAGAACACTTCAATAGCAGGCTCTGAGTTCATGGAATCAAAGAACTGTTTAAGTTGGAAAAGACCTCTGAGATCATTGAGTGAAGCCATTAGCCCAGCAGCACCATTTCACTCCTGAACCTTGTCTTCAAGTGCCACCTCCATGCTTTTTTTGAGCATGTCCAGGGATTGTGATTCCACCACTTTCCTGGGCAAGTCTCTTCCAAGGCCTGACGACCCTTTCAGAAATTTTTCATAATATCTAAACCTCCCTTGATGTGACTGGAGACCATGGGCTGTTGTCCTGTCACTTGTTACCCGTGAGAAAAGCCTGACCCCCACCTCACTATTACCACCTTTCAGGTAGTTGTAAAGAGTGATACGGTCCCTCCTTGAGCCGCCCTTTTTCCAGGCTGAACATTCCCAGATCCACTCGTCATCAGACTTTGCTCTAGTTCTTTCACAATCTTATATCAGGTGATAGGAAGTAAATTTGGGGGAGTCTTGTGTGGAAACATAATTCAGAAATAAAGTTGCCTTTTTTGCTTGGCTGGTGTTCCTCACATGGATCTTAATCAAGATAAGAACACCCCGCACTGCATCTCTTGCCTAGTTGTAGCAGTGGCTTCATTTTCATTCTTTTCATTAATTGTCTCAAATCTATTTCCTCCCTCCAGAGGATATCCCAAAGTGAACTCCCATGCTCTGGAGAACATCTTCCTTTTGTAGGAGGAGGAAAGCTAGGGCATGGGAAGCCTGGAGATGGAGCAAAGCATTTTGGTGCTGGGAATCACAGCTGCCAAGCTGATTTTTCATGCATCATCCCAGATATCCTGTCTTCACCAGCCATCCCAGGAAACATTGCTGATATAGTGGAATTGCTAAAGAAGATTTCCCTTCTGCTATCAGAGAATGTCACTAGAGGAAAAATGCAGGTATTTACTTTTATTGGCTTTGGGAGGTACTTCTGATCTTTACAGAGCTTCCACAAGCACTGTCCAATAAAGTGATGGCTGCAGGTCACATGGAGATCACCTGGAAAGCATTTCCAGATATTTTGTTAGCAGAGAAACTTTTTGACTTATTCATGTGTGATGAAAATAGACTGTGGAATTGAATTTCTTTAAAAGCAAAGGTTTTCAGGAACTGCTGCTGCAGGCATGGGCTAACAGTACAAGGAAGAATTACTTTCTAAAGTACAGCACTGTAGGGAAGGCAGCCTTGTACAACAGCTGAGATCTTTCCCTGGTGAACTCAGAAATCAGAGAGCAGGGGAAGAAATCCAGAGACGGTGGTAAAAATCAGACCTGAACTGTGGGTCAGCTCCTGGTACAGAACTATGGTGTCCGTTTTGCTTTATGTTTACTTCTCCAATCACCTTTTGATGTAGGATATGAAAAGATAGGACAGTTCTAGTAATGAGATTTTTGGGTTTGCTGGGATGGGTCATCGGAATATATTCATTGTCAAAAGGATTATTCTTTTTATAGAAATCACTCATTAATTAAATGATCCTTTTTGGAGGTACTGCCAGGAGAATAATATTTGATTTCTTCTAACATAAAACAAATTAATTCTATTTTGCTTGTTTGTTTCAGAGCTACAGCAGGATAGCAAACCATATTCTGAACAGTTCCATCATTTCCAACTGGGCTTTTGTAAAGAACAAAAATGCTGGTTCAATATTACTGGATTCAGTGAATTTATTTGCTGGGAAACTTCTTCTAAGAAATGGGTCAGAAAGTATCCAGGAGCCCTTCATCGCTACCAAAGGCTACAGCATACACAGAAACACTTCAAGAAAGAGCTTTGACTTTTCCATGGAGTTCAATAGCACAGGCAATATTACTGGGCAGGTGGTGATTCCAGAGGAAGAGCTGCTGAGGTTGCCCAGGGCTTCCAAAGCCATCAGCGTTGCATTTCCAACACTCGGAGCCGTCCTAGAGACCACCCAGCCGGACCCCGCTTTTGTGAACGGGATGGTGCTGTCGGTGTCGCTGCCCGAGGAGCTCCAGAACATTTTACTCACCTTTGAGAAGCTGAACAAGCTGGAGCAGGTGGGGGCTCAGTGCGTGGGGTGGCACTCGGCCGAGCGGCGCTGGGACCCGCGGGCGTGCGAGGTGCGCGCCCACAACGTCACCGCCGTGGTTTGTGTGTGCGCCCACCGGCGCCGCGCCTACAGCGCCTTCTCCATCCTCATGGCCCCGGCCGCGCCGCGCAGCTCGCTGCTGGATGCCATCACACGGGTGGGCCTGGGCCTGTCCATTCTCAGCCTGGTCCTCTGCCTCCTCATCGAGGCTGTGGTCTGGCACCACGTCACGAAAACCGAAATAACCTACATGCGCCACTTCTGCTTGGTCAACATCGCTGCCTCGCTTCTCGTCGCAGATATCCTGTTCATCCTGGCAGCCATTGTGCACAATGCAGCCCTAAACTACCAGCTGTGTGTGGCAGTCACTTTTTTCCTTCACTTTTTCTATCTTGCCCTGTTTTTTTGGATGTTTACCCTGGGCCTCTTAATTCTCTATGGATTATTATTAATTTTTTTTAAGATAACAAGATCTGTATTCTTAGCTGCGGCATTCTCTATTGGATATGGATGTCCCTTGGTTATATCTATCCTCACTGTTGCTATTACTGAACCGAAAAATGGGTATTTAAGGAGTGGAGCTTGCTGGCTCAATTGGTATGAGACAAAAGCCCTTTTAGCTTTTGTTATACCTGCCCTGAGCATCATTGTTGTGAATCTCATTGTGGTGGTCGTGGTTATGGTGAAGACTGGGAGATCCTCCATTGGAGAAGGCTGCAAGTCACAGGATTTGAGCAGCGTGATCCGAATCAGCAAAAACGTTGCCCTTCTGACACCTCTGCTGGGCCTCACCTGGGGGTTTGGGTTAGCCACAATCATCGACAGCCGCTCTCTGGCCTTCCACATCGTGTTTGCACTGCTGAACGCCTTCCAGGTAAGCTCTGGGACACTGGGAGTAGTGTGTATGCTCAGACATTGAGCCTGGCAAAAAGAGGGGCTGGCAGGAGGTGTGTGTGCAAAGCAGGATCTCAGCTTTCCCTTCCACTTGGTGCTTTCCCATGGTGCACGCATGAGGCATCACGTGTTGGTGTTTTAGGTGCTGATGGGTCATGGGGCAAACTGGTCTGGTTTGAAGTGGGATGAAGAAATAATCCCGTTATTAATTTCTGTTAGGTAAAATACACCATTTAATGTCCATAACTGCAAAGATGTCTGATCCTCATCAGTTAACAGTTACACAGAAAATTCTCCCTTCCAGTGAAGATAACACTGGCACAGATTTCCCAGAGAAGCTGTGGGTGCCCCATCTCTGGGAATGTTCAAGACCAGGCTGGATGGGGCTCTGAGAGACCTGGTGTAGTGGAAGGTGTCCCTGCTCATGGCTTGGAACTGGATGTCCTTTAAGGTCAATTCCAACCCAAACCATTCCATTCCATAGCTGGTTCCATGGTTTGATTAACTCATCAGCATAAACACCCAGTGTTACATGATGCACTGCTGCATGCCCAGTCTGCCTTAGCTCTTTTTGGATCAGGCTGCACTCGGGGGCTGAGAAACTCCTGGTTTGTTACCCCTCAGTCCAGTTCATAGTCAGCATTAACACAGGTTATATCCATTCCTGATATTCCTGATATTCCCAGAGACAAAATGGGATAAATCCATTTTGTGCATTGTTGTCAGAATCACAGGTGATGAGATCTGTCCTTAATGAAAAGACATCTAGAAACACTTAAGGAATATCATGTGCTTATGCTAGTTTTGTTAACTGGTTTTGCAATTTCTTAGGGATTCTTCATCCTGTTGTTTGGGACACTTCTGGACAGAAAGGTACTTATTCTGGATTATATGAACATTTTCTACACCTTGAGAAACTGGTCTCTTTAATATTTTTTATTTAAATCTGCAGACAAGAGAAGCCTTAAGGATGAACTGCCTTTCATCAAGGCGGAAGTGGGGTCTAGAAAAGGTAAAGTTTATTTATTTTCCCACTAATGGCTAATTTACCAATTTACAAACCTTATTTATATGTTGGAAGAATAGAACCATCCACTACATCTTATACCAGGTAACATTTTTCAAATTAAAATTCTTGCTGAAGGACATACATGTATCTCAAAAGTCTGCTCAGGATATTAAGCTGCTGAAGATCAGAAGTGGCAATCAATAAATTTTGGTGATTCCTGCATAACCTACTGCTGTGTTTACAAAGTTAAAAGTAGTATTTTTAACCAATCTCTTCACCTGCAACTGTCAAATCCCTTTTTGTAGACAGTCCCAGTAACTTTTTTCCCCCCATATTAGATTTACTTTAAGGTCACTGAATAAGGAAGGAACAGAATTAGGAATCAGAAATCCCAATATAATGACCTGTTTGCTGCCTTCACAAAAATATGGATGTGTATGCCAGCAGGGCTGCTTTAGGATGTCAGAGGATTGTTCTACTTTCATCTGAGGGATGGAAACCACTCAGAGCCAGTGTGTTTGGTGCTAATTGATGTGCACTCATGAGAGCTTAAGGTTCTTTTAAATATCAGAACAATTCATTAAAGCAATTCAACCTTAAGGAAACAAACCGTGTTTTAGCAGCTTCCTACAAAATCTTTGGCAGAATTGAAGTGTTGACATCACTGAGCTGGTGTTTCCTACCTCTGCTGGAAAACTTTTGTCTGTTGTCCTTAGATTTCTTTTGGTACCAAGGCTTAGTTGTTTCACACAGTATTTATAAAAGGGAATGCCCTTTAGGTGTCTCAAGAATTACCTGCAGTGTTTTTGCTGTCTGCCAAAAGAAACTGTGTCAGTCCAGTTTGGATATGGAAAAGATAATTTCTTTGCCTTTTTTCCAGTCTATTACTCAGTTATGATCCTTGTATTGAAGCTGCAGAGGGTCTTCCAGTGACTCTGTGTTCAAATGTACATGGCTTATGAGGGGAAAATAAAGGGTTTAAGGCAGCTATTCCTCCTCACTGAAATGGGTCATTTGGGGCAGGAGAGACTGTGCAACTTGGAGATTAAAAATCTTTTACAGATCCAGGAAGATCCAGTAAAGATGTTTCACACCTTGTCAGGCATTAGGTCAGGATTGAAAGTTTGAAAGTTAAAATTCCCTCAAAACACCATCAATGTAATAGTCTGGTAACAATAGATGGAAATGTCACTAATCCCATGACTCAGCAACATTTGATAAAAATATTGAGTGATGTCACTGGGCAAAACTTGATGTAGAAACTATGGCTGTGTGTGCTTGGGAATTTGGGTCGATGTTGTCACTCACCTGGGTGGAAGAAACCACGAGTAGGTGTTTACTGTGGCATAACAGAGGGGAAAGATGTGAGTCATCCACTTTTGTAAACTTGAGTGTAAACACGGAGTTTGAGCTGGATAAGTTTGTCACACTGGAGATGATTGTTTAAAAAAAAAAAAGTCTTTGTTTCAGAGAGCCTCAGAATCATGGGATTATTTTTGTTGGAAGAGAGCTCTGAGGTAGAGTCCGACTGTGAACCCACCTCTAAACCATGTCCCCAAGGGTCACATCTGTCTGACTTTTAAATGCCCCCAGAGACTGCATGGTGGGCAGCCTGTTCCAATGGTTAATAACACTTTTGGTGAGGGAATTGTTACTAATATCCAATCTAAATCCCCCTGGCACAAGCTGAGACCATTTCCTTTTGTCATGTTGCTTGTTACGTGAGAAAAGAGCCCGACCCTCACCTGGCTGTCCCCTCCTGTCAGGAGTTGTGCAGAGCCAGAAGGTTCCCCCTGAGCCTCCTTTTCTCCAGGCTGGGCCCCCCCAGCTCCCTCAGCTGCTCCTCCTCAGACCTGAGCTCCAGCCCCTTCCCCAGCTCCGTTCCCTTCCCTGGACACGCTCCAGCCCCTCAAAGTCCCTCCTGAGCTGAGGGGCCCAAAGTGGGACTGTGAATCTGGGGGTTCAGTGGTCAATGTAAAGCACTGGAAGGGTGATGCAGACTCTGGCTTCAAGTCTCTGAGTTTCCCCAGACCAGCAGGAGCCTTTCCTTTGGGTCACATTTTAAGGTGACCATCTTGTGGTATTTCTCACAGGATGCTGAGGCACCTCCTGTTTGAAATGGACCCTCCACCTCCATGGATGATATTTGCCATCTGACCTGATTGTTTTCCCTCCTAGTCCTAGCTGTGGGCTGTTGTCTTCAGTGGATTTGACCAGCGAGAAGAAAAGGAGCATTCCTTGCAGAGAGATGCTGGTTTGAGGGAGCTAAGGAGCCTGACCAGCTCAGAGCGTGGACAGCAGTGTCTGGGAGCTCAGGAAGCATCATGAAAACCAGAAGAGAAAAGGCCCTGAACCTGCTGTCAGGAGCAGGAAACCATCACGGCTGCTGCAGCCCTTGGAGGAAACATGCTGAAGCATAAAGCTTGTTTCTCACCTTTGTGAAAACTGCTGTGAGGAGAGTTTGTCCTCGTTTGCCATTTCAGTGCTTCAATTTCTTTCTTCTTCTTTTCTTTTCTTTTTTTTTTTTTTTGGCAGTGCAATAAGGAGCTGTACAGTATGTGGAGCTGCTCTAAAATTATTTAATTTTTCATGTGATGTACAAATGTTGAGCATTATCTGGCTGATTTTGGTTCTCTTTTGAGCAAAACTGATTCTATTTGTTGCTACTGTATTCGTAATTTCCATTTGTCCTCCTAGAGTGATGGACAACTCTGTTTCTGCATTGCAGCTGTTCTCTCCCTCTCAATATTTGTTGTCTTCATCTCCATCATGTACTTGTATGTCAGAGGAATTGTACAAAGTCCTTTTCTGATCTGTCAGGACAGAATTTTCTTTATTTTTCCTGTCCTGCAAGACAATGACAGAGATGAACAAGAAAGAGGACTCTGGATATAATCAGTTTCCCTCTTTAGATATGGGAAAACTTCTCCACATGAGATGGGGTGTCTGGTTTAATTAGAAAATCTGTCCTTGTTCTGAGAAACCCTTTCCAATGAAGGCCTTGATAGAAGCATTATTGACTCCAGTCAGGATAAACTGATGGTTTCAAATGAAAATAAAGTTGAAATTTTGTAATTGTTTCTAACAAGTGGAACTTATCCTTCTCTACCAAAAATGTAGATAAATGCCCTATAGAATTACCTCAAGTCAGAAACTTAAATCCATGTGACTTTACATACATTTGAAATATAGAAGATTTAAGCAAAATAACACAGTTTAATGTCATCAACAAACCTCTGTTGAAGAGGGAGAAAAATGCCCTGGCATGGAAAACCCACAGCCAGATGTTCTGGCGGGAGAAGCTGGGGAGGGTCTGGAGGGCAGAGCTGTGCCTGTGCTTGGGGCATTTCTTGTCCTCAGGACTCTGTTGCTTCCTCTCCTCTCTTCTTTCCTTGTAAACTGACCTTGTTACAGGAGTCCATCCCTGCTCCTGCCCTGCCCATCTTTATTCAAATAGAGGTAAAATTTGGTCTGTGTGCTGCTGTAACAAATTTAAAAGGCCATTACCCCAAGATCTGCTTCTTGGTGTCATTTTAATAATGAAAGTATTGGATTTTTTTCCTAGCACCTGAAAATTTAAGCAAACTTACCACAGCTCAGCACCTGCCCTCCTCTCACATGTGTGCTTGCTAAACCAGTCTGTTAAACAGTGGAATTTATAGATGGTCTCAGGTACAGCTTCCTTTATTATGCAGACCCCTTCAGAATCCCAGGAAATTCAGCAGAAGTCTGCCCCAGCAAAAGCACTACAGAAAGAATCTGTTTCATCTGCTGTTTATCAAAGGGTGTTTGAAGCATGGTGCTTATTTTCAGCACCTGGCACATATCAGTATTTTCCCTGTGTTTTATGGACATTTAGGTATTTAAAAATAACAGGGGTGGGGGAGCTTTACAGAGAACCAGTTCAAGGTCCAGGATGAAGAGAAGCACTGAACTTTTATTTTTAATACCCCAAACTTAAACTCTGCAAGAGCATTTCATGAATAAATATATTTGAGGGATGAAAGCTGTAGCTGTCCTTCGTGGGCTGTAAACTGGTATTTCTCTGAATGCCGTGGGCTGACAGCCCAGCTTTAATTGCAGCTGAGGAGAGGGAACCACCAAAGCTGGAATTCTGCCAGTTTCACAAATTACCTGTGTAGCAACAGTTTAATAATGTCAGTGGTGTGTGGGACACTTGGACTCTGTGATGTGCAGGAGCTTGGTTGGAGCTGCTCCACCCTGGCTGCCAAAATGGTGAGAGCTGAAATCCCCCAGTGCCCTCCCTGCCAAGGTCCCACAGTACACTGCACATCCCATTTCTTTCTATAGCTTACAGCACTGGCCAAGTGTGTGGCCACACAAACAGGGTCTGCAGGGCCACATCCTTCCAAAGTTAAGTCTCATTTCATGGGGAAAGCACAGTTTGGGACATGCAGCACTATTTCACCTCCTGCCCCACAGTGAGGATGCTCCTAAAATCCCTGGTGGGTGCTCCCAGGAAAGGGCCCCTCTGTAGCGCTGCCTCCTTCTCTGGCTCATGTCAGTGGTTTTGTTTAGGCCAACAGTGTAATGGGAATATATTTTTGGCACAGAAATCTGTGAATGCCATTGGGTCAAAGTTCTAAATTCACCAGTATTCCCCTTCCCTGCCCCCCCAGGTCAGATGTCCCATTTGTATCCTGCAGGCAGGGAAATGCTGATTATGTATTTTACATAGATAAAATAGATTTCTAATAGATTCTGTATTATGAAGCAGATTCTTTTTGTTTTCATTCTCTCAAGAGGGGCACAATGAATATCAAATTGATACCGGTGCACAAGAAGTTCCAGCTGAACTTGAGGAAGAACTTTGCTGGGCAGTGAGTGAGCAATGAACAGGTTGCTCAGCAAGTGTGTGGAGTCTCCCTCACTGAAGATATTCCAGAACCATCTGGACACAATTCTGTGCAGTGTCCTCTGGGATGATGCTTGAGCAGGAATGTTGGACCCATTGTGGTCCCATCCAACTTGACCCATTTTGTGACTCTGTAAAATGCCATTGGAGTCCTTTAGAATTTTAACTTCCCTGTTAGATGAAATCTTTCCATGGTTTTTCTCTGAACGCTGTGGTTGGAGATGTTTGTCTTCAGTAACTTCCATCTGGACACAACAGAGAAACCTTGCTAATGGTGTAAAGCTTGTGAACATGTTTACATGCCATCTGTGTTTCAGATCAGATGTGGCTGGACACTGGGTGTTCCTTCAGGCCCCTCTGTTTCCCATTGTATCCAAAATCCAGCCTGGCTCCTGTGACACCCTGGGGATGCTTCAGGCTTTGGCAAAAGGTGCATGTCCCTTCTCATCTGACAAAAATAGTTTATCTGTCACTACTGCAGCCATGTGCTAAGGCTGTTCTTTTTCACAACTGGAAAACATAATCTAAGGTCTATTTATTTACTTAACTGTGGCCAGTCAGTGGAATGGCACTTTTATTTGCTCAGCAGTGCTAAACTTTAAAAGCCTTGTGTCCTCTTGCTTACTTAAGCATCAATCTTTAATTATAGCTCTTCGACCCACATGTAAGATGTATGGGTACCCTGTGGGTACTTTTGTTTCAGGTTGAGACCAGTAATAAATCATCTCTTTGGGCTGTTTGAGGATTAAGTGTTGAACAATGGATTGATTAGCAAGATCATTCCAACCCTTGGGCAGTGCAAGTTGAGTTTTATCATGTAATTCCTATTCATGCTGCAGCACCCCTGGGCAGGGAACAGCCAGACTGTTGTAATTACTGGGCTGTTGAAAGATGGAGCTATATTTAGCTTGAGTTTGGCTTAAAATATCCTTATTTAAGAAGAGTAAAATAATAGTGGAATGAGTGTTTTGAGAAGCAGTGAGTTTTCCTTACCCTGGTGTTGCTAAACACCGGTTCCTGGGCTCTGTGCTGTGGTGTGAAGGCAGATCCTCAGCCTGTGAAATGGTCCCTGGTGGCCTCAACACTTGATCCCTGTCCCAGGCTGTCCTTCCCACTGCAGTATTGATATCAGCAGCCAAATGGGAATTTCTGGGGTTGGAGTGGCCATCTCCAGGCAGAGCTGTCTGAAAAGGAGGCTGGGGCACTTCTTTCAGTTTGCCTGCATCCATGCCAACCCTTTTAACATACCCTGCTGCCCATTAATAGTATCTTTGGCCCACGTCCTTGCTCTCAGAGTGTTCATCTCCAGAAATGCCCCACTGATGGCAATATTTCATCCTGACTTCTTGTGTTACAAAGGAGCAAAACTGGGCTGAGGTACCCCTGAATAAATCCTATCTGATCCTTCACCCTGCTCTGTGCCTTTCTGCTGTTTCCACAGAAATGATCCATTTTTTTCCTGGGTAATGACAGTTACTCATGCAATTCTGTTTCTGTCGTGCTGCAGCTGAAAATCTCCCACATTGCTGAGATGGTTGGGTTGGGAGCCTGGGACAGCCTGGATTT